CGACACGCATATTGCCTACCATTGAAAGAATAGTGCTATTAACGTGTACGATAAAATAATCTGGCAGATCTTAAGATTGACAAAGACAAACACCCATGCTTAGTTGGAAACTTCAATTCGTGTGTGCAGGTTTTATCACAAGGTACCTAATTAACTAAACATAATCACCATATACATCGACAAACATGTGTACATACATGAGTGAGACACCATGTCGCACATAATTGCATAGAACTAATACCAAAAAAAATTATAACGTGACATGATAAGTTCCAAGAAAGATTAGTAATGCTTTGGTGTTTATCTGCATCACTTGCGAGAGGCTGTGGCGGCACCACAGTAGGAGTAATCGCCGTGAAAGTTCTTGAGTCTACCAGCACCGGTGGCATCCTAACTGCAACCCATGGGAGAGGCATGCAGTTGGCATAACCTTGAGATTACCTAGGTTAACGTGGTTATATATGAGAGTCCGGTAGGCGATAGTGATGATGACCAGCGCAATATGCCTCTGTAATGACCATGTTCTTGAGGCAGCAGAGGAGGAGCCTACCTATGAAAACTGGATTAGCCCATTTGTTTTTTTTTTGGCACACCTACAGTAATGACTCCTCATAGTTTTAAGAGCTACGTAATATTGGTGAGAAATATAATATTACCGTGAGAGATACTAGTTTTTTTTTATGGTAGAGAGATACTAGTTGCTAGAGGCAGTTATTAGCATCATCAAGAGAAAGCACCATGGCAACAAACAACTGCACCCCCACCGGTAACAGATCGTGAATCCTCGACAATGCCTATCTGCCGATCTGCCTGGGTTTAATCCAGAGTGGTCCATGTAGCATGGAAAAACTGCACAGGTTAGCACACTCGATCGTGCTTGGCGCAATTGATAGGGTGGTATAGCTAGCATCTGCAGATCTGCGTCAGCAAGCAGAGCACCATGACGGATAGCACTATAGAGCGATACGATGGGGGCGGCTCAGCAAATACAGCAGCTCCTGGTGCCTCCCTTCCCGAGCGCTGCACACGCACCCTAATTTGTCGATGGTTTGCCTTCAGTTAGTTTTTTTTTAATTTTTATCTGACTCCATTTGCTACTGGTTTTGGAGTTTGTATTGTTTATATTTAGATTTTATTAGCTATAAGTAGGTCAATATAATGCACACCTTTTACTGTATAAGCTATGGGTCATGCTGGCACGTATTGTTTGTGTAATTAGTAGGTCTGACGACATACACATGCTGTGGCATCATATAAACAAATCAAGGTATATATACACACATGTACCTACATAAGAGATGAAAATATATTTCTATCTTCTAATAATCATGAAAACATGTTTTGCTTTTGCAATACAAAAGCGGGGTATCCTTTCCTTCTAAAAAAATAATCATGAAAACTTAAGAGATGAAAATATATTTGTATCTTCTAATAATCATGGAAAAATTCCATTAATTACCGAGACATTACCAATGATATTAACGATTCATTTAAAATTATACTAACATCCATGGACAACAATTAATTTATATGTAACTTGTTAATTTATATAAATTTATGTATTTTGACTGAAACATTGTGTGTATGTCTCCAAAGCACCAGTTTGATTAGCACATCACGTGGCCTGGTAACATATTTGTCAAACAAACCATCACAGCTCATAGCTACTCCCCAAGTCCCCAACCGGCAACACATTTGGCTACCACTGCACACCCCAACTTCTATACAGGTAAACAGGGGCTCTGCACCAGCCGTGCCAACTTCGAACAACGATCATATGTGCTCCTCAGCCTCACAGCAACATAGCACGTACAGATTTGGTGTTTGTCTTGATGATGAGGGAATGTTGTGTGTTCTTGTGGCGCCTTGCAACTATATATGTCCATTGTTGTCATGAACTCTGCTTTGATCTACCGTGCGTGATTGTTCTTGGTGCAAATGGTAGTTCCTAGCTGGCATCTGTGTTAGCAAGAGCACCACAAGATAGCGCACGAGCATTGATATCAGATCAACAAACACGACTCCTGATGCCTTCCTTTCCGAGCGTTGTGCAACCAATTCGTCGATTGTCTGTTTGATTATATAGCTTTCTTGGTCAGCTTAATTTCTCTATGACTCCATTTGCTATTGGTTTTGTGTGGGTTCCTAGCATTTAGCTGGGATAGGAGGAGGGCAATACACGGCTACCGAATTCTATAGAACAGAGGGAATAATCAACAAAACCTACCGAATGCACTCTAATGAATGAACCAAACTTATGAGTGGAAACAATTTAAACAATTAATTGCGGGTGCACCTGCTTGGAAATTAAAGAAAAATAAACAGTCAATTAAACAACCTAACATGCATGCAAGTTGTTATAACATGTGTCGACTCATATTGCTGCATTGATTACACGGGTACACATTGTTGATCCAGAAGCAAAAAAATGCGTACAAACTTTGAACACTAGCTAATCCCTATTTATACTGATGACAAAGACATTATCTTTTCTGTGCAAAAGATACCAATATTCATATGAACTGAGCAATTAATTAACTCAGTTGGTTAGGTTCGTAATGGTTGAACCTTGCCACCTTGATTATTTAAGTTCTTGACTCGGCATGTATGATCTCATTTTCCTGAATTTAATCTATTATTAATGGATTTAATGGCGCTATTGTTTCAGTGGTACATATATATGGTGAATTTATCAATCTCGAATTCAGATGTGCTCATATGAGTAGCTTCAGGGTAATTATTACATTTGATTCTAGTCACCCTCAATATCTCTTGTATCGATTTGAAGTCACTAACAAAAATTTTAGTAAAAGATACAGTGATGTTGCAATTCGCTGATGGGCATCCCTTGACTCCATCGCCTACAAAGGGAAGTTGTGCCTTGTCAGGCCTCCCACACCAACCATGCTTCACCGATGGTCCTAGATTATTTCTGTACCGCAAGAGAGTCCACTTTGGTGGTGTCTGCACTGTAGCTGCTTGGATGAAGGGCATAGACAGCTTATTAGCCTCATACCTAAGCATTTTTTACCAATACAAAGACCTACTATGCCGAGGAAAAAGCACATTATTGCCTTTTTATGTAATTCATAGACCAGACATATTGGAATCCTATATCTTTCTTATTCTTCTTTCTTCTATCTATCATCCCTCCTTTTATCCACATGCCTTTAGTTTTGCTTCACAGCATAGAATCGGGTTTCTTTTGTAGAGAAAAAAAAACAGTTGATATACAACTCTATGATAGATCTACTTATTTTTTATAGATTATTTATTCAGATGGTGACTGATTCTCTAGTTAAGATCTCGACAATACAAAGCAATAGGTTGGTTATTAGTTGATTTTACATCATTACTAAGTTTTTCCTATTTTTAGTAGGGTTTGACCAATTTTTTCAATCTCTATCTTTGACCCTAAAGAAAATAATAACCAGCCACACACTAAGGCCCTATTTGGATTCCATGGCAAAACTTTAGCCCTACACTTTTAGCCATTTTTTTTGCCATGACGATCCAAATAGGGGGGCTAAAAGTGAGTAAATGGCTAAAAACTGGGCTAAAATCTTTTGCTCCCAATGAGACCCTAAACTGGGCTAAACTTTCTCGTGGCGGGCGTTGGATGCCCCATACTCCTTGCCGCTCGCATGCATGGCTGTGCATGGATAATTAAATGAGGGCAAATCAGTCATTGTAGATTAGAGGACTAAAGTTTAGTCCATGGATCCAAACAGCCCAGCAGGACTAAAGTTTTGGACTAGTGATCCAAACACCACCTAAACATAGCAATCAGGGAACACAAAATAAACAACAAAACAGGAATGAGAAGAACAGTTGACACAAGTGGGATCAGAGATGGTGGTACTCGTGAACTATATTTGCTCCATCTCTGTCTCTAATTACGCTCGGAATTCACCTAAGCGCACTTAAACAGCTGTCTACACGATGTGTGCAAGTCCTGAATGAAATGGTAAACACGTCTAAACAGTTGACACAAACAATCAAAAAAGTGTTTAAATTGTGTGGATATATTAATCGGTAGCTAAACACGTTTAAATGCCTAGTCGCGGTCAAAGAATGGTTTAAATCTGTTTTTGTGAGACATTGTGCTCTCCATAGCAGCGCTCGGAACATTGTGCTCTCAATTGGGGCACTTGGCAACCATCATGCCATGCTCATTGTCAGCTCTGAGTCGATCTATCATACATGATGGCCTTGCATGGGTTTGGGTTTATGTCCTGTTTGGTTCCATTTAGTCACCTGGTTTTGGTCCCTTTTAGTCACTAAATCGTCAAACAGGATGACTAAAAGGTGACTAAACTGGTTTGGTCCTCTAGTCCCTTGGGGGATGACTAAAGAGGACTAAACCAACCAAAAGACACCTCCTACTCCACATTAATGCACGGAAGGAGAAAGAGTGAGAGGGAGGGACATTTTGAACTTTGTATAGTAGCTTTAATGGCATTTAGTCACTAGATCCAAACAAGTATGATCTAAAGTTTAGTCCCTGAACTAAACTCAGTCCAGAACTAAATGAACCAAACAGTCCCTTGTTCCACTGCTACGAGTAGGATCATAACTGCAGCGGTTAGCATGGTAGATTATGCTTGCTGCAAGTGGGAGGTGGTAGCTAGCATCTGCATGAGCAAGAGCACCATGACTGATAGCACCAACGTTGGGGTAGTGTCAGCAAATGTGCGCCTTGTTTGTCGATCCCTTGCCCATTCATTTAGATTGGTTTTTTGGGTTTCTCCTGGCTCCATTTGCTATTGGTTTTGGTGTTTGTATCACCGGTTTTTTTAGTATGTAGGTAGGATATGCTGTCATACCTATGTACGTCTGTCATACCGGTGATTCGGCACCCTTAGGAACTGAAGAAATGCTTCGAGACTTTACTGGGGTAGCGGGGTGAATTGCTGTGGCTTTGTTAATTTAACTGAAAGAAAAAAGATAAAAGAGTACGATCATGCGTAGACTCCTAGTCCACCTTTCAGCTGGTCCTGCTACGCCTCCTGGGACGGTGATGCCATCGCCATCGCGGCGCGCTTGAGCTCGGTGCCCTTGCCCCAAAGGAACGCATACATTCCCACCACGGTTATGACTGTCCCGAGAACGCTGCACATGCAGATATAAGTGTTGTTAAAATCCATGATCAAACAGTCGTGTGTAGAGAGCTAGTAGACTTTCTGCTCACCTCCCAAGGTAGATCTGGGTGCCAAGGAGGACCGAGTCGAGAACAGTCGTCATAACCAAGCAAACTGAGTTGAACATGGTCGGGTAGATGGGTCCACTCCGGCGGATCACCCACGAGAGCAGCAGAAACGCGAGGCCGGTGTTGAGTACACCCTGATCATCACAAAAAAAAAAAGGGTTAAAACTCTGTAATAATTAAGGTACGAGATACCGAATAGACCAGCTCGTACCGAATACACGACAGTCAGGAGCTCCAGGTTCCAGTGGAGCTTCCATTCCGCTCTGTCACGGACGAGGAACACACCCACCACCAAGGCCTGAATACTCCCCACCAGCGACGTCAGCGATGTCATCCAATAGGTTGACGGGAACACCTTCACAAGCCTCTCCTGGTAGTTTTTTTTTTTGGCCGTCATCGGTTCAAAATGGTAATAAGGAAGCGGTTTGTATTACCTGGACGATGAAGTAGAGTGCATAGCTCATGCAGCTGCCACACAACCAGAGGGTACCTACCACCATGTTGTGGTGAGCACCCGTCGCGTTGGCTGCAGGTGCCTGGGAGTACCCGAGCAGGTTGGTGGGCCAAAGATGCAGCAGCGGGCCTTTCAGCAGGCTTACCAGCATGGTTCCGCCGACGCAGAGCAGCGCGCCAAGCAGCTTCATCTTTCCTGCCCACTGTCCCAGTGCTAGATTCTCAGCCCTAAACGGGAGATCAACACACAGACACGTTAAACGCAATCACACTGTGTATCACGTTGAGAATTATTGATCATACATACCGTAGCACTATCGCAGTGACGAAGGTGGCAATTGGGATCAGGTTGAGGAAGATAGAAGAGTAGGCAGCGCTGGTCGTCCGCAGCCCGTAGAAATACAGGCCCATTGCCAGGACGTCTCTGCAATATAAGAGGCAAGAAACAAGGTATGTACACGCTTGAAAGAGATGCACTGCGTCCTTGTAATGTACTAGTTATATCAGCTACTAGTGAAACTGGTTCGGTTTCCTAAGGAAATTGTATGAAGTATTGGTACATAACAGAGAATATATATACAACCGTACGGACTAACAAGCTGAGTTCAGAAAACATTACTGATGAGTTCGAGTGCTCACCCAAACGCAGCATTTGCAAAAATCCAGCAGCATACGGACCAGTTTATCTCTTTCCACATTTCCCTGCAACAAAAACATGAAATAAATTATGAGTTTTAAGTGAGGACAACATTCTCCAAGTGCTCTTTATCAGAAAAGGGCCGCATTGCACTTAGTAAACCTAGCTCCAAACCTAGTTACCTTAAGCCTAGTGAGTCACCTAAACTACCCTAGGAATATCTTACACATGCATGAACCACAGCATAACACATCTAGGCTTGAAACCCAAGATCAACCATGAAAAGCTATGAACATAGGTTCTGTCGACCATTCAGCGGAGAGTCCATCAGAATCGACGGAGTGTCCGCCAGTTCTAGAAAATTACCCAGCAGAGCCTTATCGTCTGTAGATATGAATCAGCGGAGAGTCCGCGGCATTACGCGGAGTGTTCACCAATTTATAGAGTGAATAGCCAAAGTACCTGATAGCACCCAGTTTCCAGCGGAGAGTCCGTGACCTCCCACGGAGTGTCCGCTAAATTATAAACCCAGCCAACCAGGAACCCAAGACTTCCTAGTTGTTGATATTTCTTAACGACTAGCGGAGGGATTCTGCAAGCGCACAGAACTATTGTGTAGCACTTTTCTCGGTGAGTACCAAGAGTCAAATTTATATTTTCCCAAATGAAGGCAGGAGGCTAAGTTATAAATGATCGCTAGGATTGCTAAAGGAAAAGCATGACCTTAGCCTAAGTATTTGGATGGTAATGATGGTTGTAAGTGAACAAACGGGTAAATTGATAAACAAGCTAAACTAGAGGTAGGATAGCTAGGTGGGAGAGTGAGCAATTTATCTTAAGTAACAAAGATACACTAATGACTAGAAGGAATGCGCTAGTACTTCAGGGCATAGCCCACCTACCAACCAAGAGGATTAAATAGACAAGGTCTACCATGAGCCCTATGATTTAATAAACCTAACATGGTGGAATACAGATGATGGACAAAGCTGTCACCACTTGCCAACTACCACAATCTATCCGAAGGCCTAGCCATATCCATAGGTAATCTATAGCCTAAGCACCTCGCTTAATCTATAAACTTACTACTTCGATCCGAGCTCCGATGAAATGAGATCAAAGCACCCTAACCAGACGGTGGAACCAGTACTAACGAATGACTACTAAACAAAAGATAACCTATGATACTATGCTAAGAGCAAGCACCTAAGCTCACTAATGATGAACAATAATGAACAAGTACTTGAACAAAGCAAAGCAATAATACAGAAAAAGTACTAAAAGTAAAGTACTGAATAAAGTAAATGTTAAATGAAAGAATTACAAAGGAGCTATACCAGACCCAGAAAAGGCTCTTTCGGACTCCAAGGAAGCTCCGCTCTAGCTCTACTTCCACTCCTAAGCTACTACTCTAGAGCTATGCTAAGCTAGAGAGCTTGGAGAAGCTTGGAAGCTTGGAATTGAATGGGGCACTTCTTCACCGAGCACCACACCTCATTTTATAGCTTGTAGAAGGTGAGGGGGTACTTGTAGGCAGCAAATGAGGCGGTGGGGGTGCCTTGGGCATCGGGCGATGCCTAGGGGCGTCGGCCAACCGTCCCTTGCACCACCTCAACATCCAACGGTGCTAGATGGCCTCCCAATGGCGGTTGCATGGCAGGTAAGTCAGTTGCTTGGGCAGGAAGTCGGTTGGAGCCCTCCAAGTGAAGGACGGTGGACCCGTGGATCCAATGCACTTCCATCTCGGCCCTTGAAGCAAACCAACATTGGATCAAGGGTGGAGAGGCCTTGGAGAGGCTCTCCCATGGATTAGTGACGTGGCAGGGCCACATGGGGGTCGGGCGATGCCACATGGCATCGGCCGACGTGGCCATGTGGGCCCATGCCTCCCGCCACGTCCACTTGTCTCCTATGTCCATGTTTTGCACCATTTTTGCCAAATTTCCCGCATACAAATATTTTTCGATGTACAAGTGTAACTAGGCGAAATATAAAGCAAATTCAACACATGTGATGATGATTTTCCTCGCTTTATCTTGCTTTTGGGTGAAATGTTGATGGTCAAAACAGGTGTTGGTGACCGTCAACAAGCTCCCCAAGTTATCCCTTTGCTCGTCCTCCTGTGCAAAGATGTGGGTTTAATTAGCATGGTATTGTAAGTGTAGCATGTTGGATCAAGAGTTGCTACTATGTAACGCCCTGCAAAAAAAATTAATAAACAGGAAGGGATGCAAAAACTTATATACAAACAAATACTATCTCTTGAACTGAATATGTTAGCATTTGGAAATCCATCATCAGTCTTAGCAATGTGGGGCTTATAGCTTTCACCTTGACATAAGCAATTGTAGGATTGAGTAGCTAGACAGATACTTTTCCCCCTACTTTGGTTTAGCTCAAACTTCCTAGAGGCTTTCAATAGATTTGAAAAGAAAACTTGCCTAAGTTCCTCATATGGTACACTCAAGTCTCTCAATGGTGTTTGAAACCTCACCAAGGCCATGGATCTTAGCCTTAACATCTATCCTAAAGCTTCGACCCATGAATTTATAAATTACACATGTGCATCCTTGGTCTTGCTAACCTGTGTTATCCAGGTCCATTATCGGCCCAACCCTAATTCTTACTAAACTATGTCATTTAGGTAACACAAAGTGTCCGATATATGAACAATTATTTGTTTATATCTACTACCACCTAAAAATAACTAAGAGAATCGTCTGTGTCCCCCGCCCCGGCCCTATATATACGGTAAAAAAACTCACAAAAAAACATACGTTTCTGAAATATATACGGCAAAAAAATGTCTTCGTTTTCTAATCCTATCACTACTACACTCGCACCTTTCATAGCCATGTCATAACCCCTATCACAGTCTAATTTTGGCCTCGGCAGTAAGCTATCAGCAGTGATAGTCATAGCCATCACTGTCGCTATCTAAGACCGACTGGGATGTTCACGACACCGCCGTTTTGGCTTATCATCCGTCCATGATAAGGTCCTTCCATCGCATTAGAGCACGGATCGCCTGTGTGGGTATGCACTAACACCGCCGCATGGATTATGATCCGTCCATGATCAGAGCCTTATTCCGTCGCATTGAGGCCCGACCTGGCTGTGTAGGTGTACACTAACACCGCTGTGTTGGCTTATGATCCGTACGTGATCAAGTCCTTGTTTCCGTCGCATTGGAGCATGACTCGCCTGTGTCGACACGAACATCACCGTCGCTTCAATGAATGAACCGCCTGGTCATAGGGCATCATCACCATCGCGTTGCAATATGATCTGTTCGTGATGATCCTTTAGATGGTGTCGGGTTACTAAGCGATTCAGCGGTGATACACCATTGACCCCTGCCGCATCAGACGAATAGAGGCGGTGATGGCCGTCTGCTTCACCAATGACGAGTGGTACGGCGGTGATGACAAAACAACCAACGGCCTGTACATCCGAGGTGACAGAATTGCTTCCAGTTTTCATAATGTATTTACTAATTTAGCTGGGCCTTAATAAGTTACTAAACACATACCATACTGATATAATCATTACACATCATTCATCATGTCCACAACAAAGAATACTTGTTATAATAACAATGCTCGACACTAACATAACAACTGTATCAACCGATGAATTAACACAAGCGGTACATAGATAGCATAATAAAAGTTTTGCTCCCTACATACTTACGTAAGGTAGATGTGCTCCGCTCCTTCAGATTGGCACTCCTTGATCAGCTTGGCAGCCAATGCACGATGAAACCCCTCTTTTTCCTCCCATAGCCATTGCAGGAAAATCGTTCAAAAGCACTGAGACTCTAAAACTTGCACAATGCAAAGCAGCAGAATTAATAATATTCAACAAACCATTGGTTTAGTTACCAAGACAAAATTGGACTATATGTAGACTCAAAACAACTTCCTACCTGAACAAAGGCATGTCCTAACAACAAAATACAGCATATGCACATTTAGTGCTCTTGTAATGACTCCATGAACAAGGGAACATAAGGAAGATAGTGAAGTCCGTTGATACATAGACTCCAGGTAGGTCTAGGATAGCTGATGACCCATGTAGGGAGGACATGAACTTTTTTTGTGGTTCATGTCATATGCAAGCAGTGTTCTGTCATCCCCAACAAGGAAAATCAAATATCATTCAAGGTGAACTACAATCACTCTGTACTCCACATCACAAACCTCATAACCAAATTCAATATTGTTCTATCCAAATATCTCCAGCGTGGTCACCGTATGCTTCAATGTCCATCTATTACTACCATAGTCTTCAAGGATCCATATTGAAAGTTGAGTCATAGTGCAAATATTAGCAGTACATAAACACAACTGACCCTGGGTTTCATGGATGGAAATTGCATCACCACGTGGCTTCTGTATTTTCTTCCATGCCTTTTTGTCCATATCAACAGCAATGATCTAGGAGAACTCGAGCCAGTGCATAAAACCATTAAGAAAAACACTTCTCACATATGTGGATACTATAATACTGCCGCCCCATTCAGATTCTTTAAAGATCCAAGCTGCACTCTTAGATGAGTAGATGCTCACACCTACGGACTCACCCTCCCTCATCTTCCCATATTCAAACATATGGAAGTGCGAGGACACTATCGAATCAAACCCCAAGCGAGCCTCGCCACAAGAATAGAGGTTATCCGGCAGTAGCAACCATTTGTTAGTCGCCGCATTGCAGACAACATAGCGACACCCAAAACACCAGCAAAGGATGAGGCCGCTGCAGCAATCTGAGA